TGCACACACTATGGTCCTCTTGAAACAATACTGAGCCATTAAGAGAAAATATCTTTTTAAATTCAATGTCATTTCATTCTGTTACTGAACGATTTTGAGGTTTAACTCACCCTTTTCCTACTAGATACATTATGCTGTAGAAGCATCTATGCAAAGTTTCAATATTTAGTAACAATCAGTATCGCTGACAGTATCGCTGTTAGTTTTATATCTGCTAAGAAGATGCGTTTTATCGCTGTAAAACTTTATTTTAGTAGCCTAGCCATTTTATTGGTTTGAAGAAAACAATCGCTGTAAAGTTCTGTTTTGATGGCTTAGCCTTCACTTTGTTCACTCGGTTTGGAGAAAATAATCACCATTTTCCTCCTAATTGAAATTTTGTAAATTCACTTTTTTACATTTTGCAGGTTTATATAAATACACCTTCATAATTGTTGAAATTGATTATTTTTCTTTGGAGTTATTCTCCAGCAAAAAAAAATATTCTTTCTATAAAGACAATAATTTTATATTTTTTCATGAACAATGTGATGCAAGAGTTTTCCTTCTGTACATACATTCACATTCAGGCGTATATGAATACACCTGATAACTTGCTGACGGTTTCCAATTGCTAATTTCTGGGCTGGGTTGAGTATGTTTTGGTATTTTTTGCATTATTCAGTAGAATCTCCATAGTTTACAAATTATGAATTTGTGGAGTGGACTCCAGAGAATGAAATAAATATACATTGCATTTCTTTAATGTCCCCCTCCCCCGCCAATCATTTTTTGAACGGGTCAACTCAAACAACTGAAATTTGGGATAATGAAATCAATGCATGAATACTTATAATTTCCTGAAGACGAACACATTAATATCGATATTTCTAGAAATATTCAAAAAATGCCAGTACGACAATGAACAACATTATTCAGTTGGAATATTCTCATTTAGTTTTCGGTTTTACTAGTAGAAAGGTACCACGTCAACAATCTCTAAAATGGTCAATTCTCGTCCATTGGTAGAAAAAATTGAAGCTATTTTTATTTAAGGTCTACGCGTAACTTTCACGAGACCGAAATGATTTTCAATGAACGTTTTCCGAATCGTCCTATCTATAGAAAATATTTGAGGGAACTTTTATCCAAATTCACAACTACCGGTAGTGTACATAACAAAAAGCCTCCAGGTCATCCGTCTATTCCGGAAAAACAGCAAGTACAAATAATTGGTGGAATAATAGTAAATCCTGAACAGTCTACTCATTCCGTCGCGAATGTTTGTGAAGCGTCTCCTTCTAATGTGTGGAGACTTTTGAAGAGGAATAGGTATCATCCATACACCAATTAACTGAAGATGACCCTGATCGAAGAACAGAATTCTGCGAAATCATGACGCAAACAATTGTAAGGCATCCTACCTATCTCCACAATATTTGTTTTAGTGACGAATGTACTTTTTTCAACGGCAATGTTCACAAACAAAATTGTCGTTATTGGAGTGACACCAACCCTTACGTTTTCCGGAAACATATACACAATATCCAGAAAAAATTAACGTTTGGGCAGGAATATTGGGAAACCATATTATAGGACCTCTATTTATTGATCAAAATTTAACAAGGGAACTGTATTTGAATATGCTGGAAACTACTGTTAACCCTCTCATTACTGAAATCGTCGAAGCGAATCCTAATGAATTGTATATCCATATTGTATTCCAACAAGATGGAGCACCACCACATTACTCCAGACAAGTTAGAAACTATTTGGATACTACTTTTCCCAGTCGTTGGATTGGCCTTCGAGGTCCTACAGAAAGGCCAGCTCCCTCGCCAGATTTGATACCTTTGGACCTTTTTTCATGGGGCTATTTGGAGCAAAAGGTGTACGAAACTGAACCTAGTTCTATAGTAGATATACGGCAGAGAATATTAAATATTTGTGGAGATATTGACGTTACTGTGTTCAAAAATGTTTGGCGTGAAATATCGTATTTATATTTGTATTAGTTGAAGATATTGACATTATATTCTACAGTTGTAAAGCATTTGTCGGGAGTTTCAAAAAAATGTGTCACAAGACCCCCCTTTCTATTTAATTTTTTTTCCAGATGGCGCCCAGTTGCCATTTCGAAAGTTTCATCTGTCAATTTTACTTCAAAATAAAGTATTCATGCATTAATTTTATTATCCCAAATTTCAATTTTTTGAGTTGATCCGTTCAAAAAATAAAAGGGGAGGCATTAAAGAAATACACTGTATACCAACGACTGATTATTCACATATATCTCCATGAAATCCACGATATGTTCACATATGTTCCACGATATGTTCTTATATTAAAATGTTATTATATATGTAAGATATTGATGAATTCCACTATAAATTTCCTTACTTTTTTTTTAGTAAATTTATTCTTTTTTTCAGTAGTTCAGAAATTAACTTCTGCTAAATAATCAATATCACAATAATAACGCCTCTGACAGTGGGGCCATTAAGGTGAATTACTTCAAAATATATCCAGTTGCTTAACAAGCGTTAAGTTTTCGAATGAAACACTACGTCAATAATCATTCGAAAAAAATAAAATAAATTCCTTTTTAATCAACATGTTGACACATCATCTCCAAAAGTTTTAGACGTAGGAGTAGTTGGGAAAAGTTGATTCAAGAACAAACTATACATGGCTATATTCAGCGAAAATCAGAAACACGTTTTATATATTCTTTCTCTGTGACCAAAAATTACGAACCAGTTAAAATTAATGACATTGTTACCCGTATAATTGCTGATGACATCTTCAATTATAGCTTTATTGAGTAAATTGAATAACATGTTGTTCACCTAGAAGTTTAATTCGAGTCTAGTTGGAGTGCCATAGAGTACAGTGTTGTAAAATTTATTGAACTCTTGGAGGGGGGCAGATTTTTTTTGCAAATGAAATAAACTTTACGGCCAACATATATTCCACATAAATGATTTCTTGTAATTTTTGAGTAATTAATAAATAGTGAAAATATTAAAAGCGCTGATTTTTTTTCTTGTAACTATACGATTATAAAAATATCAGTGGACGTTACCATCGCAAAACTTGTTTAATAATATTTTGATAGACAGATTGTCCACTAATGTTTTTTGTACTTACATTTTATCTTAATTCTTTCTTTTATTGCATCAGTACCATTTCAAGCTGCGTTTCGTAATGTAATCAAAATAATTCTGATAACTGTATCGAAAAGATACAAAAAAATTGATATTTCAAAATGAAATTTGAAATAATACACCTCTCTCAATGTTCCTATACAGTTCACACTAAGATCAGATAAGTGACAACCGGAAAACAACTACTTCCCCGGATAATACCACGACATACATTTATGGAGGAATATTTCAACAAGTTGGTATAAAATACATTGGCCAAAGACAAGATTCTCAAGAAAGAAATGGGTCTTCATAGCCACTGCCATCACAGTATTTCGATCTGATTACAATATTAGAATATTTTTTAGATTCAGACACACCATCCGCAACAGCATCATGAAAACCAAGCTACAAGAAGCAGAAAAGTTCGTATTGGCGCATACAAGAAACAAATCTGCGAGGTGAAACTACTAATAGCAAAGACGGGAGGTGGGTACTAATAATCTAAACTTCGTATTACAGTAAAGTCTTTCTTTTTTTCTTCTTCTTTCTCTTCATTTTTATTTCTGATTTCTCTTCATTTTTATTATTTGTGTATATTATTGAAATTTGAATTATTGGTAATATTTGTTTCTAACACACACATTCATTTATTTTCATATCAGGTTACAAAAATCTTTGATATTAGCGTCATTTTTTATTTCATACTCAGATGATAGCGGAGCCCAAAAGGGTAGCATTTATTCTATACCAGACAGCGCAGTTATGATGCAACTTTTTAACTCTTTTATTCGTAACAGTCAGTACCATTCTGTTGTGTAGACATACCAAACTCACAACACACGGGGATTTTCTAACGATACAGACGATTTTGGTTGAAAGTTTATATGTAGTTTATTTCGATACCCCGAAAGGGTGGTGCAAAACAAGTAATTCGGATACATGCTTCAGAGAGTTCTTTACTACTTTTTGGGATTGTTGTTACACTCCAAGAAAATGATATCACAAGCAAATGTTACATCGATAACGAATTTGCAGTATGAACTAAACTTACATTGACAGGCGAAGGTCTGATACATTTATTCTCCCAACGTTAGGTAGGTGATCATTTGTTCAAAGAATCATGTTGCACNTATATGTCAGTATGTACCCCTTCCGACTCCACTGTGCGAGTTACTTAAGGCAACACCCGTGTGTAATTTTTTCATGTTGCCCAATCACCGTGGAAAAATCCTCTTCCTGCTCGGTATCGGTTTCTGGATTCAAATCGCTATGAATTATATGGACCTATTCCATAAGGACACTGCTCTCCCAATTAAAGAGTTTCTTAAAAGAGAAGATTGGGGCATACCACTTGAGACTGAACTTTCGCAACGCAGGGATATAACGATAGATATAAACCGAAATCGCATATGTTCAATACGCTGTTAATAAATGCATAATTCTGTCAGACGCCTCACGACAGAATTTGCATCTTTTATCAGAAACCTCAACAAACATCATGCGTTTGCGATAAATCTGGATGTTAAAGACACCATCTAGGAAAGCCGTGATGTATCCCTCGGATATTCGACTTCAATCCACTTGAATTGAGGAAGCAAAGGTAGGGTGAGTGGATAAGCCGAAGTCGGCGTCGATGATAAAAAACTCCAGTGCAATCTGTTTACCATTAGCAGCAAGAAGTGAAGTTATCTTTTCCCAACAGTGACTGTAGTTCAAGATATATCTGAAAAAATATTTGAAAGTAATTTTTGGAATCAACAAACTTTTCTGGAAGTAATGGACACATTATTTTCACTAAAAACAGAACATCTTTCAGTTTAATATCTTATTTGATTCTATGGCTAAAAATCAAGTATGTTACACTACAGCTAGGCTTTTTATGATTCTTGTCATAGTGACAATCAAGCCGAGTTTCTAACTGAATTAAACAATATGGAAGAGGAACAAGTTGGAGAAGGTAATATCGAAGACTACTTAACTCCCAAGGAATTGTTAGCGAGTCATTTTGCCATCCCGGAAACTCTGCAAGAGAAAAAGTTAACATTTGACGAAGCTTCAAAAGGTTTGAACACTCTAGGGAAAGATGAAAGTGGCGTAAGATATGCATATCTGATGATGACACTTACGGAAAAGAAGTTAACGGACATATCGATAATAGCAAATTTTAAACATCTTCTCTTTGTGGATCTGAGCGGAAATCTTCTTAATCTGGAAGCTTTAGAAGTCCTAACCCAGCTACCGTTCTTAATTTTTTTGAAAGCTGAGAGGAATAGAATTGAATCTGCAAGTTTGCAGTGCATGCCCTATCTTCAAGTTCTGATTCTGAACAAAAATCAGATAACTGAAACAGGCGGGTTGAATCAACCGTTACTTGAAACGTTGGAACTGTCTGATAATTCAATTTACACTGCTCAATTTGAACCAGAAAAGCTGAGCAAACTAAAGGTTTTGAGTATGAGCGGTAACCATTTGATAGATGCTTCCGGTACCTATCCAACGGGCTTGGAAAAGTTGTTCCTTGGAAATAACAACATAAGCAGGATTAATTTAGATCTCTCCAAACTGAAAAATCTGAAATACCTCCATTTGAGAGATAATAACATCAGAAAACTATCTGGATTCACCGAACAACTATCACAGCTTACCTATCTGAACTTAAGAAACAATAAAATCAATAAAATTAGACAATTCAGAAAACTGGACTGTTTACCAAATTTGGAAACTATCATAGTCATAGAGAACCCAGCGTGCAGAAAAAAAGATGAGCGAGATGAGGATGTTGAAGACGAAGAACACGAGGATGAAATATACGGCGAGGAAGGTGCGCCCGCTGTTGATAAAACTAGATTGGCTTTATTGGTATTATTACCGAATCTTAAACGAATCGATAAGGAAATAGTTACAGCGGAAGAGAGGGAAGCTGCGTTGTTGAAAAAGAGGCAAATTACAGAAGAAATCTTTGAAGAGGATAGTAGCGAAGATGAGACAGAAGTACCTACCACTACAGATTTAACAACGGAATTTACAACTGAAACGGAAATTGATTATGATTTACCTCGTTCAAAACCTACGGAAGTCAGAGGAGAGAATGAATCTGACAACTGATATGTGAGGGGATGACGCAAGTAGAAATGAGAGTAGAAAATTTAGCTTGTAGATGTTGGATTCAATAACAATATTCAATATACTTGAAGTTCAAATATACCTGTTTTATTATAATTATTGAATAGGAATCAAAATATTACCAAATTATGTATATACAGGAGAATATTACAAACATACAACAAAAGAACTGTACTAGTACTGACAGATCCTGGGGCTCTAGTATATTGAAGAAAGTCATGAATTATAAGAAAACGAGTAAGGCAAGAACAAGAATACGAAAAACTTACTAGAAAAAGGTCTGCTTATTAAAGAAACAATGTTGTTTTATTGTTCAAGTACTATTAGGAACTGGTTGAATACAATTTTTTATTATTTATGAGAGCAAAAAACTAAATGAGAAAGAAAAGCAAAGTTATGTTTGTCACTTAGAAGAATGAATGTTATCATTGAAATATTATCAAGCATAGAAATTAGTTGATTGTAATCGAATAGTTTTCTGGTAAGTTCTTCACTGGTTCTGGCTACTTCATCTATAATTTAATTTTCATCCTATCTGCGGAATAAGTACTTCAAACAAAATATTGTGGCTTAAAGTCAACCAAGGTCGATTTTTACCTACTTTATGAATGGAAAATATTCTTTCAGGAGTGACTCGTGTACAAATCACTCCTTAGAGATGTGTGAAGAGTCCAGACTATGAGAAATCTAAAAGAACGGAAAATGTACGTGATATACTTCGACACATGGTTCCTTATCAGGGATAATTTCTTGTGTTTCTTCTTTTTCAGATTCTGTTACGAACTCGACATTTTCACTGTTTAAGTTTCCTTTATCTTCGTTTTCTTTCAACATCGGTTTTTTACCCACTGAGAAATTACTGTATTAAGTTGTGAACTGTTTCAGGATTTTTCAGGAAGTTTGTTAAGCTTCGAAATGGAACTAAATTTGTTTAGGTCTAAGGAACAGTTATTATTAGGTCTTGTAAAAGTTATTTCGACAAATCTTTTTTCAACCGTTATCCTTGCACAATCTAACATATTGAGAAAGACTAGTTTATAGTTTTGAGAATTGACTCCCAGGATATTCCCCTTTTAAGCATAATTTTCAACTTCAACTTTTTCTAAGTCTAAGAGCGCCCGTACAACGTTTCTTTCGCGGAGTTAACCGGTTGTTGCTTGTATGTTATTTCATTGTAATTTCACTTTTTTGCTTAATAAAATTGTTTTTTGACCTGATCTTTTTAATTTCTTTACAGATTCTGTCAGGGATTTCAAATCAGTTTATATCATGTTAGACAATGTAAGTCCGAACTGATGAAATGCACCACGAAATATTGTCAACCACCTTCATACAAAATATAAAAATGTCCTTCCTGTTGTCGCGCAATCAGAAGTGGATGTACCCAAAACGATCGTACCTTCCTACGTCTTCTCCTTCTCCTTCTCCTCAAAATAAGAAGTAGTAGTGCTTCTTCTTCGAAACTCTGACACCACAAAATATAGATGTCAGTTGCTTCAACTGCAAGTGCGGTTCATATGACCGCAAGTCGACCACAAAAATGTGGTTGGGTCGACCGCGAAGTGCAGTCAACGTGGCCACAATGTTGTGGTTGCCTCAACTGCAAATATGTGGTCCGTGTACGGCCAGACTAACTCCATTTCTACATCGATTTCGTTATCTTCTGATTTTAGAAAAATATACGAGTATGAAGAAATTAAAGATCTGTGAAATCTTTTTTCATCAATAAATCATAATTTTCCCCCTATCCAGTGTTCCTGCTCAATAAAATTAGTAACAAATTATGTCAAAAGAGTAACATTTGACAGAAAATTGTAACTTTTGAAAGAGTCGGATATAAAGTACAACATTTCGTGCTGATAGGTGACGTATCAAAAATAACAGAAGATATGTGAAAATGCTCCACATTAAATTGTCAGTTATGATACGTCAGCTGCCAGTTACTTTCAGTTATAATACATCAACGACCGTTTTGATACGTCAATTGTCAGTTCTGGTGTGTAAACTGTCAGTTTAAAGTTTCTTAAAATGTAACAAAATGGTAATTTTGAACACCCATAATTTTGTTACTGAAGTAACGCCGGAGAAACGACACTGCCCCTAGCCAATGGACTCCAGACAATTAACGACCAGCCGATCTGGTCGGTCCAAAATGCGTACGGGGGACAAGACCGATCCATATCATAAGGCTTCAGTGTTTACCGGAGACTTGGAACTCAAGTAGCGAATACATTTTCCGGAGACTTGGAAGCTAAGTAGCAAATGAAACAAAACATGATATTGTGAATACTAAAAATTTTGAATTGAAAAATTCACAAAAACCTTCCCAGAAAATGATTGTGTTCAGTTTAAATTTTAAAATTAGAACTTTACTGATCTACTTTCATAAAAATGTAACTAAATTCATGATACAACAAATTTACACATTTTCATTTCACGAGTTCTAACTAAAGCGCAATATTTCATAAATTATCACAATATATACATTAGTATAGCCTGAATTCATTAATACACAGTATTAATAATACAGACTATCTATATAAATCTGATAATTCATAAAAAATATTTTTCAAAATATAAAGATCTTTCAACTCAGAACTAGACTGTTTGTCCTCGTTGTCGACCCATTTTTCGTTGAAGGATTTGTTATTACTCACTCTACACAGAGGAAACCTTGTTATCAAATATATCTTTGTAAGTCATAATAAAAGAAATTGTATGCCTCTTCAATGGTAATCATTTACTTCAAAGATCTACTCACTTTACCTTAGTAAAGTATTCATATCACTGTCAGTCAGGTGAAAATTAAGTAGAATATTATCAACACTTGTAGTTCTCGTTGTCCTTCTTAGGACACATGACCCGAAAAGCCATAATTTTGGTTTCAAAGCAGTTTTGAAACTTTGCTTGTATATTTCATTTTTTTTGTTACTTCCGACGATTTGATGCCGCCTCCTTTTTGCCTTGATAACTTCGGTCCATTTTTGTTGAAGATTGTTATTTCCCTATCGTTAGCGTCTATTTTAGCGTTCACATGTCGTGAATTAACTACGTTCAACGCAATGCAACGCATTTGACGGCGATGCCGGCGACGTTGATACGTCAGCATCAGTCAAATGGGTAATTTCATCCATTTTTGAACGTTCTCCGGCTTTGGAAATGCACAGAGAATGTTTGGATGATTACTAATGCTCATTTGTTTCCTATCACCGAGTTCAAGGTTTTTATTCGAAGGATTATCATTTTTATTGTCCGACTTTCGCTATTCAATATTGCACTACTGTTTTGTTAACTATCAGCATTCATCACTGGAATTGCATTTTTATTGTTTTTCAACACATCATAATGATCTAGAATCTAGAATTTTCATTTTGTCGCACAGTTCACGAATCAGCATATCTTTTTGATGCAAAATGCACTTGAAAATATCAGAGTCTACCTTCTTTTAAGATCTTGACTGACCATGGCATCAAAAATGTTATTCATGTCACACTATCCTCAGTTACACATCAATTCATTCTGTTTTCACTGATTGATTTTGCATCTCTGCTTTTGACACAACTAGAAAGATATACACTGTCACATTTACCACACAGAAAGGTCCAGTAAAAAAATTCAGCCGACTATAATTTAATCAGAAAAAGGACTTATCTAGAGTCTGACAGTCCTAAATTATGTTATTATTCATTATAATACCTAATCATTATTGTCACAATATATTTTATTATTGCTGTCCATTTTGTAATTTGGGATTATTCTAGTCGAAAAAGATCTATATTACTATTCAGTCAAATAAAACAAAAAAAATATGAGAACTTGCAAACCTTCGATTAGCTGAGGCTCATTTCAATGAGCAGATAATTTCATTGAAATATTGACATTACATCCATAGAAATATTTACATACCCAATTTTTGGTCGATTCATTACCTGAAACGGTCCATAAAACAATGAAGAGTAAGTGATTCACCTTAGAATTTCTATGAAAAGGATAAGAAGTAACAATCTGAAGAATTTAAAAGTTAAATTTTGCTAAAGGTGAATAAGCGGTAATCTTCTCGGATCTCATAAATATGGCACTTACATGTATCTGCAGTTGTCCTTGTTATTGTATTTCCAAATATAGATACGAGGAACATTAGCTTAATGATGGACGAATATCACACTTCGAATAATAATAATGTAAGTACACTACCGAGATCTAAGTACACACTCCGCACACATACACCGTGAAACTACTGTTAGGTATAAACGTCGAAGGCAAGAATAAGTCATCCTACTTGACTAGAAACGTAATAGCGAGTATGTGACTAATGCAAATAACCGATAACTAAATATTTGTTTATTCCGAAATAAAAAGCGAAGTAAAGTAAATACGTTTCCTGTCAACAAACCACCTAGGTGCAGTTTCATCAACAAAATAATCAAATGGAAAGTTCAGTCTGTGGATTTATTAATGTTAATTTCGCATTGATGGAAACCATTAATTTAATTACTCATTAACCTACTATCACTGGTCTGTAACAGATGAACACTTTGAAGGACACAAATTATTTTTTCAAGTTGAAATTAAATTATTTGTATACTTTTTTTGAATAATAATATCAGAAACCCAATTTCAATTGATGGAATGTTTGATTTTGTTAAATTTGTTATGTCGTTTTTTCATAAAAAATTTCAAAATTCAAACTTAGTCACACAATCAGTATGTATAATCATTGATTTGAAAGGGTTACATTTTTTATGAGAGACTCGTTTTTGTGAAAAACACTTCTTGGCTTTCTATTTTCTTCGGAATATGGATATGACGTATTAAAAAAACACACTTCAATGTGAGATTTCTGCTTGATAGTTTATAAAACCGCGACACGTGTTTCGATATACAATAGCATAGCGTCAGAATACTGAATATTGTGACACCCGGAGATGTTATTGCATATTGAAACACGAGTCGCGGTTCAACAAACTTTCACAGCGAATACTGAGTATTGTAACACCCGGAGATGTTTTAGCATATCGAAACAAATGTCGCGATTTTATAAACTTTCATAGCTTCACAATACTGAGTATTGTGACGC